TATGTTTGTATGAGTGGTTCCTTATCTGCTTTGTGAACAGTTTAGATTCAAGAGCATCTACTTTAAGAGGAAAATAAAATCTCAGTTAACTTTCTTCTAAAGATACAATACAGCACAGCTAGCGCTTCTCCCATGATCACCATTTTCTTTCAGCAGAAACATAAACGCTACAGATGTGATCCATGTCAGAGATTTATAGTATTACACACCCAGAAGAGAGAATATAAACTGTCCCAAATTAAGTTATTATAGCTTCTCCTTTCGCAGCACCGATTTTCTTCTGCGATGAGAATTAACAGAACAAGAGAGACAAAAAAGCCCATTTGGTTCCACTGTTACGTCTCTAAGTGATCTAGACTAGATTGCAGAGGATTTCTGACCGCTTGGGTTTCTGGCTATCAGTGGCAACCATGTTTCTCCTCCCACGTTAAATAATATTATTGGAAATTAATAATACTTGGAGAAATAAGAAGAGATTCTTTCAGTGGAATATCCGTGCGCTCCGTTCAATTCACCCACTTAAAATTTAGAGGATGCCATTTTGCGCCAGGTTCTGGTTACGGCACGTTAGGATCACAGTAAAAACAAATACACGTCGCCGATCCTATACGTCTGAAGTGCATCCATCCTGCTAGTTTTTTAAAGGGTTTCCAACAATACAACACCAATCGGGTTTAATTGGAAGGAGGAAAAAAAAAAACCAGTTCTGACAGCAGTTTCCTGCCGATTTGTGGATTTACTTTGATTTGTCCGACGAAATTAAAAAGCTTGTTGAGAGGGGTGACTACGCGGGCCAAAAGCATGGGACCCCGCTTTATTAGCACTTTTTCGCCCTTTCTCTTTAGGAAACACAAAGAAAAGGAAAGTTTGGTGTGTCGGGAGTGGGGGGTGGAAGGATAAGATCCCACATGTAATCGGCAACAAATAAAGGCGCGGTAGATTATGGTCTTGGCAAGTGAGACCGAAGTGAAGTGGCGTGATGGGGGCGCAGACTCCAGGTGGCGGGGCACGAATGCGCCCCGCGGGACGTTTTTGCGTGGCGTGGGAGGGTGCGCGAGAGTGGCCACGGGACTTGAGAGAGTTTGCGCAAAAGAAAGGGAGACTGGAAAAGAATTTCGCAAATCGATTTATTTTGGAGTGGATTGATTTCAGTGCTTTTCTTCCCGCGTTTTTTGAAAGCAAGCAAGCAAGCAAAAAACAGGGCATAGAGTTTTCAGCCCCTCTCATTTCTATCTTTCAACTCGATCGTTTCGCCTAGGAAGAACAGAAGGACGGTCCCCTGGTCAGAAAATCGTTTTTTTTTCCGAGGGGAAACACTTTTCTGGCGGGAAGAGCCCTCCTCGCGCCAGTCGCGCACCTCCCAGCTTGCTGCGATAGACAAAAAGGGACAAATTCAGCAAAGGGCTGAAAAAAAGTCAATTTTTAGAGTAATCACATAGCCCTCTGTTATTGCTAAAGACGACGGAGAGCATATTATTATTCTCTGTTCAAAACAACGTGAAGTCACAGCTGCCACTTCTTTAACTTATTATTATGGTTCGTATTATTATTATGATTATTATTTCTGAAATCCCTTTCAAATAAAGATCTGTTCCGTGTCAGAAAGCGACTTTCGGCATGGAGATCGGGCATCGCGTGGGTTGGGCAAGAAGAAAGAGCGCGCTATTATTTTTTTTAAATCAAAAGCATTGCCAGATCCTTGTGGCAATAACTTCAAAGTACCGAGTTGGTGTTGTTTTTCCTTAACCGACAAAACAACCCGGTGTTTGATACAGTGCCCTCTAAGTCTAGAGGTAGGTGTACGTGGAGGGGATTGCCCATCTGTGCTTTCTGACTTCTTCGGCTGGCGAATTAAAAATAAAGTACATTAATCTCCAGATCGTTGAAAAACGGGTTCAGATCACTGTCTGCAGGAAGGAAGAAGGTCAGGTTGTCTCTCTGCCGCTGCAAAAGAAAGCTGGCCTAGTGGGTGACAGCTGCGCGTCTTGAAACGCTTTAATTAATTAAAGGCTTTGTGTTTCGTTGGGATTATTATTATTATTATCATTATCCCTGTTGCTGTTATTCTGAATCATCTTTAGACGCTCGGACGGTCCTGTCTTGGAGGGCGCAGGGGGGGAGGGCGCGTGGAGATCGAAATTCCCACGCGGGCAGCAAAACCCTCGGCTCTCCCCCCTCCCGGCCTCTCCGACGACCCCCCCCCTCCTTCCTCGCCGCCTTTCTCGGGAGATTCTTTCCGGCCTCGGAACTTCGATGCGGCTTTGGGTCGCGGAACTCGAAGCGCCCGATCCTCAACCGCCGCGTAAAACTTTTTTTTTGTTTGTTTCTTCGCTCCGCTCCCAAGAACGGCCCGAAAGACGGCTCGGGCGGCTCCCTTTCCAGCACGCGGGCCCCAGGCTCCTTGCTCGACCTCCTGCCGGCGGCCCTCATCGCGGCTGCCCTTCCGCTCTGCCTGCCCGCGCGGATCTCCCCGTCCGCCGGTCGTTTTTCCCCTGCAGGCTGGCGGGAGCGCGTCTCGCCTTCCCGCGCCTAGCGCCGCAACTTTCTCCGGGTCTTCCCCCGGCGAAAGGGGGCGGGGAGGTTGGGCCATGCTAATGAGGGGGGCGTGTCCCCGGGGGGGGGCCCGTCCGCGGCGTCGGCGTCGGCGGCGTCTCGGCTGTCCTCGGCGGCGATTGGTGGGCGTGGAGGGGCCGAGGAAGTTATGACGCTATGCAAATGAGGGCAGGGGCGGGCTCCGGCCCTCAGGGCGCCGCCCCCTGCCCACTGGGGCTGGTGTGCTCGTGTTTAGCTGCGGGGAGAGAGTCGAAGTAGATTCCATTGAGAAAGCCTGCAAACCACTCCGATTTAAGCCGGGAGGAGGGGGGGGGGNGGGGGGGGGGAGGAAGCCAAGAGGATCTCAAGCCACCCAGGGGGGTGCGCTTACCTTTCCCGGCGTACGCGCGCCGCGTGTCTTCCTCTGCCCGTCTCTCTCTCTCTCTCTCTCTCTCTCTCGGGCTCCCCGGCAGCCAGCTAAGCTTCCTGCGCTGTTGGAGGAAGGCTGGAGAGGAGGCGAAGAAGCAGCCAGAGAGGGAGAGAGAAAGGGCGAGCGCCAGTCTTTGGCCGGAGGGAAAGCCCTGCAAGAGAAGGAGACTCGCCGAGGACGGATCGCAAAGTTGCCGCTTTCTTGTCACTGGAAAATGACACTTGATGTAACCAAGGGCGCCTCCGCCGCCGCCGCCGCCGCCACCTCTCCAGCCGCCGCCGCCGCCGCCGCCGCAGCGCCGGTTGAACCTATTGTTTCTTAAACTGCCTTCTTTCTTCGGCGATCCAAAAGGGGGGAGGACTTCAGCACGGGAGGGACGCCGCCGGCAACGTCCTGCGACTTCTGGCGCGATCCCGGCCAGCCAGCCAAGAAGAAAAACCATATTCTGATTTTTTTAAAGCAAAAGAGGAGGAGGAGGAGGAAGAGGAAGAGGAGGAGGAGGAGGAGGAAGAGGCCACCCGGTGTCTCGCGCCCACCCTCCAAAGAACAAGCTCGTCAAGGCACCCGCTAGAGCATCCGCAGCCGGCCCCGGGGGGGAGATTTTTGTAACCCTTTGGATTTTTTTCCACCCCTCCGCTCTTCTCTTTCTCTTCTCCCCCCCACCCCCACCCCCCGATCCCTTCAATGTCTGTGTTTGATTTTCTCTGATTTGCTTTGATTCAGCAGCCGTTCCAGAGAAAGAAAGAAAGAAAGAAAGAAAGCAAAGAAAAAAGCAAGAGGGGGAGTGAAACGAAAACCCCGACCCGCTCCGCGCTTTTCTTCTTGTCAACACCCTGCGCTGTGGCTGTGTTTTGCATTTTTGTTTTTCCTTGCTTTTCCTACTTTTTTTTTTTTTCAAGAAGAAGGGAGGGTTTTGGTTGTCCTTAATTCATGTTTGGGATTCAGGAAAGTATTCAANGTGTTTAGCTGCGGGGAGAGAGTCGAAGTAGATTCCATTGAGAAAGCCTGCAAACCACTCCGATTTAAGCCGGGAGGAGGGGGGGGGGGAGGAAGCCAAGAGGATCTCAAGCCACCCAGGGGGGTGCGCTTACCTTTCCCGGCGTACGCGCGCCGCGTGTCTTCCTCTGCCCGTCTCTCTCTCTCTCTCTCTCTCTCTCGGGCTCCCCGGCAGCCAGCTAAGCTTCCTGCGCTGTTGGAGGAAGGCTGGAGAGGGGGCGAAGAAGCAGCCAGAGAGGGAGAGAGAAAGGGCGAGCGCCAGTCTTTGGCCGGAGGGAAAGCCCTGCGAGAGAAGGAGACTCGCCGAGGACGGATCGCAAAGTTGCCGCTTTCTTGTCACTGGAAAATGACACTTGATGTAACCAAGGGCCCCTCCGCCGCCGCCGCCGCCGCCGCCGCCGCAGCGCCGGTTGAACCTATTGTTTCTTAAACTGCCTTCTTTCTTCGGCGATCCAAAAGGGGGGAGGACTTCAGCACGGGAGGGACGCCGCCGGCAACGTCCTGCGACTTCTGGCGCGATCCCGGCCAGCCAGCCAAGAAGAAAAACCATATTCTGATTTTTGTAAAGCAAAAGAGGAGGAGGAGGAGGAAGAGGAAGAGGAGGAGGAGGAGGAGGAGGAAGAGGCCACCCGGTGTCTCGCGCCCACCCTCCAAAGAACAAGCTCGTCAAGGCACCCGCTAGAGCATCCGCAGCCGGCCCCGGGGGGGAGATTTTTTGTAACCCTTTGGATTTTTTTCCACCCCTCCGCTCTTCTCTTTCTCTTCTCCCCCCACCCCCACCCCCCCGATCCCTTCAATGTCTGTGTTTGATTTTCTCTGATTTGCTTTGATTCAGCAGCCGTTCCAGAGAAAGAAAGAAAGAAAGAAAGCAAGCAAAGAAAAAAGCAAGAGGGGGAGTGAAACGAAAACCCCGACCCGCTCCGCGCTTTTCTTCTTGTCAACACCCTGCGCTGTGGCTGTGTTTTGCATTTTTGTTTTTCCTTGCTTTTCCTACTTTTTTTTTTTTTCAAGAAGAAGGGAGGGTTTTGGTTGTCCTTAATTCATGTTTGGGATTCAGGAAAGTATTCAAAGGAGTGGAAGCAGCATGAAGGAAGAGCCCCTGGGCGCCGGCATGAACGCGGTCAGGACTTGGATGCAGGGAGCCGGCGTCCTGGATGCAAACACCGCGGCGCAGAGGTAGGTAGAGCTCGCGGCAGCATCCCTCCCTTCGCCTGCCTTCCCTGACTCGAAAATCCAGCGGTCCAGTCAGCCTCAGGTCTGTAGCTGGTGGGCAGTGCTTCCCAGCGATACCTTGACCCCAAATGACTTTTTAATCTCAGGGCCCGAGTAGCCGCTGAACCAGTTTCTTTCTTTCTTTCTTTCTTTCTTTCTTTCTTTCTTTCTTTCTTTCTTTCTTTCTTTCTTTCTTTCTTTCTTTCTTTCTTTCTTTCTTTCTTTCTTTCTTTTTCTTTCTTTCTTTCTTTCTTTCTTTCTTTCTTTCTTTCTTTCTTTCTTTCCCTTTCTATTTCTTCTTTCTTTCTTTCTTTCTTTCTTTCTTTCTTTCTTTCTTTCTTTCTTTCTTTCTTTCTTTCTTTCCCTTTCTTTCCCTCTCTCTCTCTCTCTCTCTCTCACCCCCTCTCTTCTTTTCCCCATCCCCAAAGACTATGGAGTTTTTCATTCAGGAATCGCCCCCAAATATGTTGACCCTTCCGATACTCACATTAAAAAGCAAAATTAGGCTGCCCATGCTGTTCCCATCTCTCTCTCTCTCTCCCTCCCGGATTAATTTCTCATTTCCGAACCGGTACATATTTTCCCCCTTCTCCTAAAACCTCCCTTCTTTTTAAGTTGCACCCAACAAATGTCGGTGGCAACGTGTCCTGTCACTTTCGCAACAACTTTGCTTGCTTGTGGATGGTGTTATAATATATTTTTGCTCCTCGACAACAAGCCAGTCCCTTCCCTCTAGCGATTCCTTTCAAGAAAGGTACGCCCGGGACCTTTTCAACTTTCCAGCCACTTCCAGCCCAGAGCTCCCGGGAACTAAGTTCGGCTGTCCTCCGCGCGATGCTTACTCCCAAACTCCCGTTTTCTGGGGTTGAAGCCAGGGCCTCAGTTTGAACCGGGCGGCTGGGCACCTTGACAGGTCGCGAAGGCATCGGTCCCGCTCGGCTGGATCCCTCCCTCCCTCCCCCGCCTCTTCTGCTCGGGAAGGGAAAGTGGTGCGGGGGACAAAGCCGACGTGAAATTATGGGAAAGTTTTGTAGGGATGTTTCCTGCCCGGACGAGAGCCGGGTTGGAATCCGAGAGGGTCTTCCTGCGAGCGAGAGTAGCGCTTCGGGCATCAGGCGGAGTTAGTGACAGCTGAGGCCGCAGTGACCCGACCTGCGAAAGCCTGGCCTTGGGTAGGCAGCGGGAGCATCCCCCGGGGCAATTCGAGCAGCCGGCAATTTCGGCTTGCTAATTCAGGCTGCTGCAGCAGGGAAGGGGTCGGAAAGAAAAAGCTAAAGAAAAGAGAGCGAAAGGCCTCTTTTCCTCCCGGGTTGATTCGCCAGGGACGGTTTTGGCGGTTCGGAAAGGCAGCGGTTGCTTCGGGGTTGCCGAGGCCGGGGGGTTCCTCTGCGGAGCTCCGTTTCTCCCCTGTGATGGAAGAATCACCTGCTTCGTTTCTTCCTTAGAGCTTGGGGAGCCTTGCCCCCCCCGCCTCCCCAGCCATGAAATTGACCCAGGCTTAGGGACCTGACTAGGAGGACCCCGCTTGTTGAACCGAGCAGCTCGCTTGGCGCTAGGACTCCTAGCATCAAGTACTCGTGCTAGTATCTTTTCGCCGGACTCGACCCGGCTCGCGAATGGGAAATTTCTCGGCTAGGGGAGCAGCAGGGCTGGGACGAAGCAAGCGCGCCTAATTCGGTTTCTTTGGCCGCAGCGGGGTAGGCCTGGCCCGGGCTCATTTCGAGAAGCAGCCGCCTTCCAACTTGCGGAAATCGAACTTCTTCCACTTCGTGCTGGCTTTGTACGATCGGCAGGGGCAGCCCGTGGAGATCGAGCGCACCGCCTTCGTGGGCTTCGTGGAGAAGGAGAAAGTAAGTGTATGTGTGAACGGGCGCTCGCGTGTCAGCAGATATAAGAGATGGATTTCCTTGTACTCCGGAGCCCTCTCTTCCTGCCCGGGCCCGTCCTAGAGAAGAGAGACCGGTCTCTGCGGGATCGCTTCAAAGTCACACTTGGCCGACCCCCGCCCAGCAATCTGCCAACTTTTGACTTTTTTTTTTCTCGGCCCGGTCTCTAAGTGTTTCCCTTCCCGGCACTTTTCCAACCTGCTCCTGGCCCTTCTTTCCATACCCAGAACAGATTGGGTTGAACTCAACCCCCTTTGACTACTGTCCCGATCTGGAGGGGAGTGGGGGGGGCAGTAAAGAAATAAGTAGCAACCGGAGACGAGGCCGGGATTTAGGGCTCTTTAGGAGCGCCTTGCTGCTCTGGTTGCTGGTCCTGCTCCTAACACTTGTGTGTCCTTTCGCTTCAGGAAGCCAACAGCGAAAAGACCAACAACGGGATCCATTACCGGCTGCAGCTCCTCTATAGTAACGGTGAGCCTTGTTCTGCCTATGCTTGACAGCTCCGGACGGCTTTAAATCTCCAGGGAATTCCTTCGTTCAGTACGTCTGTTTCCGCCTGGAAGGGAACGGAAAGGGGAGGGGAGGCTTGCCCCACCGGGCTCGGGGTGCATTAGCCAAGGGACAGGGCGAGCGAAATCTCCGACGCGGTTGTCTTTTAAAAAAAACAGAAACAGCAGCAGCAACAGAACCGGATAGCTTTTTTAAACCTGAGCAGAATTTCTCGGACAGCGGCTCCGTTTCTCTCTAGTGTTTCTCCAAAGGTAGCCGCCCGACCTTAAGCAGCTCCCCCCCCCAAAAAAAAGGAAAAAAGAAGGAAGAAGCCCAACACCTATACAGTCCCGTGATGCTTTCAAGATTTGCCAGACCCAAAATTTTGCTTCGGTGGAAATCCAAATAAAACAGAATGTCCCCTTCACCTGGATGACAATTTTTCTCTCTTGCCCTCCTCCCGACCCCCAAATTGGGAGCGAAGGCTCACCTTCGTCCAACCGACTAGGGTGCACTAAGTCTGGTGTGGGCAAAAGGATCACCTCGTTTTCCGTGCCAGTTAAATGAGAGATCCTGGGGTGGGGGGTGGGGAAAACAGAGGACTAAAGAAAGCAAGGCGGGTCTGTTTTGACCGTTTATTGACTCTGAATAAATAGATTTGCGGTTAGCTTTTGAGAGGATGGAGAAGTATTATTACGTGTTTCCAACTTTCAAGACCTTCTCCCGTAGTTCGGGACCCCAAAGTAACTGGCAAGTTTAGGGGGGAAAAGAAAGAAAAAAGAAGAAGGAGCTTTCTCAGTTTTTGTCTTTCGTTCTTTCGCTTAATTGTTCTATTTTTTTTTCTCCCTCCCCCTCTCTCTCTTCCCTTCCCCTTTCTCCCCATTCCGGCTTCCAGGGATAAGAACCGAACAGGATTTTTATGTCCGTTTAATCGACTCCATGACAAAACAAGTAAGTCTTGCTATTCCTTCCCTTTCTTGTGAAATGGTCAAAGTGGAAGAAAGCCGAGGCGAGTGGGAGGCTCTGGAGGCGTTTAGGGGAGTTGGGCTCTGGAAACCGAAAGGCCGGGTTGGAAGGAGCTTGAGAGCGGTGGAAGGCGCGGTGCGGTCGGTTTAGTTCGCGAGCTGCGAAATCTGGATTACGCCGGGATCTCTAGGCGAAGGCCCAGGCCGAGTAGTCAGGGTGAGAAGGAAAGCGAAGACCAAAACGCGGGTGGCTGCCCCCTTTTATGCGCCGAGACGGGCCGTCCATCCCGGCCTTCTTCCTGTTGGAAAACCCAGCGTGCTGACAACTCAGATTAGAGCGGGCGGGAGAGCGGGCGGGCGCGCTCACGAAGTCCGATCGGATCGTTTCTTCTCCTCCTTCCCTCCCTTAGATCCCGTTCGGCTCCCCGTCCTGTTCGCTTCTTGCCAGGTTTGGCGGGGTTTGTTTTCAAAGATGTCCTTGCCAAGGTATTCCCGAGCGGCATTTCAGCCTTAAACGCCGTTGCTAAACCGCAGGGTTCAGAGTTGGACCAACACCCCCCCCCCTTCCCCAATTCCCTCTCGCTTGCGAGAGAGAAAAAGAAGCGGCAAGAGTTTTCAGAACCGCCTCCTCCTCTTCCTCTTCCTCTTCAGTCGGGGAGAAAGGGCTCCCCACCCCCCCTTCCTTCCCAGTTTCATCCAGAGGTCTCCCAGCCCCTCCAAATTCCCAGCCTCCTTGCAAATCTCGGACGATGGATGCAAAAAAAAAAAAAAAAAAAAAAAAGGCGCAGCGAGTCGAGGCGAGCGGAGAGGAACGCAGCTTTCCTCCTAGCGGATCGTTACTCAAATCGACTCTTTAAAACAAAACAAAACAACAATAACAAAACACACACACACACACAGCCGTGTGCGTTTGCATTGATTTATCGCCTTGAGCGACTCCCTCAGTTGAGGCGGCAGCCCTGGCTGAATTGGACCTTGGCGGAGCTTTAGGGGGAAGCGCCTCCTGTGCTCGGTTTTAGATTGGCCAGGAGCCAGGGCGGGGTGAACCAACCGCGGTCTTAAAGGTACAGGATCACCGTGGCTCTCGCCAAGCCCCCTTCAGTGGGCGAGGGCCAAGCAGCAGCTGAGATCCGATTACACTGCGCGCGCGCGGGCGGGCGCGCAGGGAGGAATTACTTTTGGGCAAACGGTATTCATTTTGCCTGCCTTACCCTCCTCTTGCTCCTCCCCTCCCCTTCCTAAGGTTTAATTAGACCCGGTAGCTGTTTACCAAATAAATAAATAAATAAATAGATAAATAAATAAACGACAGCTTCTGATTTCCCCGGAAGGCTCCCAGATCACAGAATTCTCTCTCTTTCTCTCTTCCCCCCCCCCCCGCATTTTAATTATAAGAACGAAAAGAGGTGGAAAAGAAACCCAGGAAAAGCAACGCAACGCCCCCGCCCTTGCCAAGCGATACTGTAGCCACCTAAATGTGCCCGAGTAGATAATTAAATAAATAAGGACGCACGGTATTTATTTACTCCTTTGTAATTCCTGGGTTAAGGATTAAATCTCGGTAGATTTGCGGTGGGATGTGTCATGGGCGATAAACACTTATTTTAGAAACTTTAATGCTCCAGAGTAATTTTGTGATTGGAAAAGCTCTGCCTTTGATACAGCCTAATTTTCATTATGGCATTTTTATTGCATGTTCACTCTCGGTGCCCTACAATTGTGGTTTCGTGTTTAAAAAAACAACAACAACACAAAACCTCCACACCTCTAGACATACAGTAAAATATTGAACTAAAGGAGATCATTTTATTCCTTTGAATCCAAGTATTGTTGTACAGTGTATCTTTTTTTTTAAATTAAGAACATTTTATGTTTTTTTTAAGATTTGATAATTTTTAATTTTTTGGGAGATCAGATTTGTTTAAGTTCAGGTTAATGTTCTGAAAGTTATTAAATCATGCGATTTTATCTGATTCAGATTTTTTTTTTTTTAAAAAAAATACAAATGGAGTGATATTTATTTATTTTTCTTTTTTCTTTTGCTTACTGCATTCACACACATGGTCACAAGCCAGGTTTTGGGTGTTTCAGAATTCTGCCTTCTAAACTTTCATTTGTTTTTGGTAGCTTTCTGACACCAAACCAGAAAGGTCAAACAGTTGAGTTTGTTTTAGAACGCTGTCTTTGATGCTCACGAAACATCTTTTCCTGCCATTGATGGCTGTCTTACAATAGAAGGATAAAGAAAAGGAAGAAATGGAGCAGTTGCAATTCTAACATTTAGTAAAACTAGTAAGAAATCCTTTTGGAATATATCTATAAGAACTGACAGCAGAACAACTCCAGCCCTTAAACTACAAATCTTAAAAAACTGCACCAATAATGACAATAATTTATAAGTTTGTATTTAAAGAGGACCTCTCACTGTTTTGTGTATGAGTGTAATTGCATAATCCTTTTTTTAAAAAAGAAATTATAATTGAGCCATTTTCCAAATTGTAGTCATTCAAGAGTTAATGTTTTTTTCCTTTTCAAAATTAAATTTCTCTGTAGAAAGTCATGATTTGGCCTACCATAGTTTTAAAACACCTGTTTACTAGCATTTTATGACTGGATGGTTGTCAATTCACCTGCAGATTTCTTCTGGTAAAGTAAAACAGGAACACGGTTACACAGCTTCTGTGCTGTTGTTTCCACAAGATCAAACCACTGCCAGATCTCAGCTGGAATTCAGATACAAACTATTATCCACTTAATAGCAACCAGCCTTTTACTTTAAAACACTTTACATTTAACCCTAACATTAGGACTAATTATTGATTTGGGGAAAAGGGGAAGGGGTAGCAGAACAAGATTGCAGAATAACGGTTTTAGAGAATAAAATCCAGAGCTGAGTAATACAATTTTTTTTTTAAAAAAAGGTTAAAATTCCTTATTGAGAAATGGCTGATAAGAATTCCAAGCCAATAGATAAAAATGTTCTTTGTATTTTTATTAAATGTATGAGCTTAGTTGTCATTGTCATATTATTATATGTATTTTGTAAAAAAAACAACTTAAGTTAATTTCTGGTTATATCAGGGAGCTTTGTGTTATGATATGTTAATGTTTCCAGAAAGCAAAAAGACTTGTTTTTTGTAAACTCAAATACTCTGGAGATCTTGAAACTTCTATCCTCGTTAATGAAATATCTGTAAGGCAGGTCAAGGAGTCTGCTGAATTGTTCACAATTGTCCCATTGTAAAATTGCCACTTAGGCTTTAAAACAGAATGCGAGGAATATTTGGAGAATCTTAAGTAACTTTCTGCTTGGAATTAAGTTGTATGCAGCGTGGGCAGATGCTCCTTCAGTTTTTACTGTAATGCACTTTATATGTTGTCCAACATCATAGAGGAGGGGTATACTAGTATCTGAATCTTGGCACAAATTGGAATGGAAAGATGGCGGGTAAATGAAATGGTGACAGGAGCCGGCAGGTTTCAGTGGCATGGTATTGGCAAGTGACATGTCATCAGCAACAACATTTTGAGATCATACTCACTGTTTCATGTGCAGCTTTAATGATTTTCATACTTACATTCAGCCAGATTGAGATAGGCAGGGCTCTTAGAGGCCTCTAGGGATATGTGAACAAAGGTCCCTGGCCCGTGTAAAAGGGAAGGACTAGTTTTTATTTTTTAAATTTGTAGTGGTGATGTCAGAGGCCTATGCCACAAGTTAGGTAAGTGAATCATGAAACCACCTGATTTTGTAAATTAATCTTTTTTTCCCTAACTGGATATATTTGTTTCTTTCTAAAGTATTTTCATCTACTTTATCATTTATGGTTGAGCTACATTCCTGTTGTGTTATTTATTTATTTTCTTTGTTCTGTTTGCCTGATACTGTAGTTGTGGCGGTTTGTAAGAAAATCATGGAAAAATGCTGTGCTTGAGAAGCTGCTATCTAAACAATGAGTTCTGGGGAGCCAAGAATATTATACAAACATTGTCAGTATCTTTGCAGCAAGCTACTTTTAGGGAAGAGACCTGGAAATAATTCTCTTGAAAAGCCTTGGCATGTTTGAATGCAGCCATTGATGTTATATAGCAGTATTTTTCAAGCTTAGCATTTTTTTAAAGATGTGTGGACTTCAACTCCCAGAATTCTTCAACCAATATGCCAGGAGTTGAGGTCCATACATTTTAAAGTTGCCAAGTTTGAAAAACACTGTTATACAGGAAACTGGAATCAGTTTGGCCTTATCTTGAGAAGCTGAGAGGGAATGTACAGGGAAAGACTAGAAATCTCAAAGTAGTAGTAGGCTAGATGGTGAAGTTAACAAAAAAATTCAAAAGAAGGCAACAGCAAACCATTTCTGCATTCATTCATACAGTATAGATTTTCATGGCTGCCATTTCTTGACAGAGGTACGTTTTGCATTGCTGTCACGTATGTATCCGTGATACCTCTAGAAGTCAAGTTCAGCTCAGAAGAAAATTTTGACTGGGATTTTAGACAAAAGAGATAGTTTTGTCATTGTGAGAGAGATCATTCAGGCTTATGGATGTAAACTCTGTCTTTGTAGATATGCTCTTTTTCTTAAACCTGGATCAGAGTGAGTGAAATTTTAATAGTTGTGCGAACCAAAATATCCCTTTTGTAGATCAATAGCTTCCTTGCCAACTTAGCACTGGAATAACGTGAAGGCAGAAATCTCGTCAAGACCACTCACTGATTCTTTTGTTTTTCTTCAAAATACCATATCAGAAAGTAGATTTCCCTCCAACACAGCCTAAACACAGACATAAATCCAGCTGATTTCAAAATGTTCTTCTTTCTAACATGTGAGGCAGTCAAAGATGCTCTATCGTGTCATCTCTGATACTTCAAACCCTCTGTGTCATTTACAGCAGGGATGCAAATACAGTACTGCTTTTTACCTAAATTGATCAAGCTGTTGTGCCTGAGTGCACAGATACTGAATCCCCCACTCTGTTCAGTGA